GTTCCTGTACACGTCCCGCGGGAGCAGCGACGCCCAGCAGGTGAGCCCCTGCTCCCGGGCCTGGGCGCGTGCGGTCTGGGTTACCGTCGTGAGTTGGGGGACCTGGGGGGCGCTCGCCCCTTTCTGTAACGGTCTGTGGACTTCGATACCCAGAAGCGCCATTGCTGGGTTAGAGCAAAGTCCCTGGCAGGGCTGCTGACCTTCCTCTGCCGTGGACGTGGACGTGGACGTGGACGAGGGGACAGGGCAGCCCTGCAGGTGGCATCCAGTGAGCGCTTCTCTGAGCGAAGGGAAGAAATGCAGGCTCCGTCACTTCTGCAGCGGAGACCTGCCCCTCAGATGAGTGAGGACGGAATAAAGCAGGTCCTGGAGGGAAGCAGTACCTCCCTCAGCGCCCACGCTGAGCCACGCGGCCATGCAAAGCGATTTATGTAAAGATGCAAACACGGTGTCTCCAACCTGAGCGTGGACCCCTCGAGGTCTGACCAGAAGGGACAGCGCACCGTGTATGTCCTTGGCCGGAGCACGAGGAACCACCCAAATGGCGATAAAACGTGTCAGACACTATTTTCCAAATCGCAGTTAGGATGAAGGTTGGTTTCAACCGTCAGCCATGGTTTCCTATTATTGTTATTTTTGATGGAAATCACACCGGGAGCTTACAGGCCTCTGGGAGGACGATGTGGTTACGATGGTTCCTTCACAAACAGTCGAGAGTGAACAAGCTGCGGCCTCGCGGTGTACGGGCCACCGCGGGGTCAAAGGTGCTGTTGGAATGTGGGGAGGTGAGCTGCTCCTTGCAGGGCTGGCTTGACGCTCGGCTGTCACGCCTTCGAATCCTTAATAATTCTGAACGGGCTCTGCCAACGTGGTGGCCGTTCCTGCCGAATCTCGAATCTCGCTCTATCTCACTTCCCTTTCCCGGGAGCTCCCCTGCAGCTCCCTGATCCGGGGGGCGGGGGGGGGGGCTGTTAGTGTTTGAGGATAACAGGCTTCATCAGGAAAACGTGCCCCCAATCTCCAGGCGGCTGGGAGAGCCCTGAGCCCCGTCCTGGGCCTCCTAGGGAGACTGTCTTTCCGTAAAGCGGGAGCCGGCCTGGTTTAACCTTCACCTCGCTCTCGAGGCGTCCTGTTGGTGGACGCCTGTGTCACGCTTTGCTGTGCGGCTCACCCGTGCCCGCTGTGCTGGCTGTGACGTCATCCGCGTGCTCATCGTAGCTTCTGGCGAATTCGTGTTTCTCCGTCTGCTCATTTCCTCTGCCTGCGAGG